ACTGTCAAACAATGTCACAATATGTAAAATATAAAGCTTGATTTCATCTGATGTTTAGATTATTTGTTTCAAAACAAGAAATATGTAGCGCATCTATTATGGAGAGAAGACGAATACTTGTTTAACCGTTACTTAAGTCAAATCTTAACTCTATTATATTGCTATGTTTCATTTGCTGTGTTGTTAGAATGAAGACGAGGACGACTTTGACACAACTATTCAGGGGCCATGGATGAAGAAATGGGAAATTGTGCACGTGAACCGCCATGTTGAAAGCTACAAGGAGGTCCGCCAAGCTGATAGGTCATAACTTTCTGTAACTGTATTGATGTTTAAAAAATATGAGTAATTGTATGGAATGCTTTTTATACTTCATCCTGTGTTGAGTTAATGAATTTGCAGAGGTTTGTGGAATCTGTTCATATTCAAAAATAGGAGGAACATGGCAGTTGGAACTGTAAATCAATGTTTAGTGAATTAAAATAAAACACGGCTTAAGGAAACTAACAACTTACGATGAACACGAAAATTACGCGTCGACACCAAAGCAGCCATTTACTACCTTTAAAATTACCTTTGTGTTGCATTTCAAAGAAATTACATATTGTTGTCAATTGTTATTGATAAGAAATCAAACAAACACACAGATGTGTGTGTTTTCTTCCATGTGTTTTTTTGTGTTATTTGTGTCTAACAGCTGAATATAATAAATTATTGGTAATTTATTATAACTCATTCTTCCAATGACAGAGACTGACTATTTTAGCAGTAAATTACATGATTTAAAAAATACTCAATAGATATATAATAACATTAATAATGTTTATTCTAAATACTCAATAGATATATAATAACATTTATAATGTGTATTCTAAATACTCAATAGATATATAATAACATTAATAATGTGTATTCTAAATACTCAATAGATACATAATAACATTAATAATGTGTATTCTAAATACTCAATAGATATATAATAACATTAATAATGTGTATTCTAAATACTCAAGAGATATTATAACATTAATAATGTTTATTCTAAATACTCAATAGTTATATTATAACAATGATAATGTTTATTCTAATGTATCTGTTTCGGTTATGTTAATGATCTTGTGTTAAATTATTGGCCACTTTGCTTAAATCATGTTTTGGCTCGTACATGTATATACTTAAAACCTTGTAAATTCTTAGTCATATTGGACTTTTACTATAATGCAATTCGCTTTATTATGTAACACTTCCACATTAGGCAGTGTAATAATACCGTTATTTAGAGGATATTTAATGTTTTCCGTTGAATACCATACAGTATATTTTATGGGTATAACAGAGTATCGAAAATATCGTTTTATCACATAATGTACTATGTTATCCAGTGAATATACCCATGTCATATTTTTTTGCGTATTTACCCATGTTATATGACCTATCAGCCCTGTGATTGGTTGTAAGTTTCAATTGTGACGTCATGCCAAGGACAAGTACATGACGTCACAAACTTACGAACTTGAGTCACAATGGCGGCTTTTTACATTTCATGGTTGCATAAAAATTGCCGTTTTACACGAATAAATGCCACAAATCTTGACTGTGTGATAAAAAGGATCTTACACTGGTTTTCAGTTCATATAGCCATTATGAAACTCGTTACGAAGTTTTCATTGCAGCTCGCCAGAGGTTCGCTAAATAGAAACATATTTGGACTAGTTTCATCAATCTCATATGAAATGGAAACTCATAAAAGGTCCTATACATGAATATATTATCTCATACGAGTGAAATATATATGATATTCAACGTAATACCATTAAAGATCCTTAATATGGTATTAACGAGAAAAATCATTAAATATATTTAATATGGTATTTAACGAGAAAAACATTAATTTCTTTATTGATTACTTTTTTAAGAACATGACGCAGATATTGCTGCATCAAAAAGTATTATCTAAATCGAAGTAATGTTATCCTGATCTCAATATTTCCAATGCAATTGGACCAATAAATACAATGTATTAAAACTTTTTTGAACATGTGATATTATTTGTAATTAAAATTTGACGTCAACAAAATTGGACACAAATTGTGCCCTTTGGTGAATTTCGATGCTAATATAATTGTTTTTTAATTATTACCATAACAAATCTTAATAACCATTAATGTAGGCATCAAAAAAAAAACCTACATGGGAAGGTATTGATCAGCATGAATGATTTTTTGTTATTTATTGATTACATTTAGATTAATTAATAAAGATTAATTAAGTACTTGTACTTATTTCAAGAGTGGCCAGGTGGTATTCAAACCATTTCCCCTTCTCCTCACCACGTACATCACTAAGGACAGCATTAGTGACTGAATATTGCTGCCTCTAATGGTTGTTTTTTAGTGTTTAACAAATCATCTTCCAGTCTCACTATGCCTGTATATACTTACGCACAAATGACTTTAGGACTCACACAACTAAATCATTTACTATATGTTATTACCAAACATTTTAGCTAATAACTTTAATATTTGAAGTTCAAAACTAGTGACAACTGTCTAGATTCATAAATACATACCTTGCAAAGGCTACAAAATGACTTTTTTGGTAGGTTTAGTGGCATATTGGAGTGTCACAGCGCCAAGAAGTTGACAACCGGAAGTATACAAGCAAAACCGGTGACCCAAAACATAAACGCCCCCAGACATTTTGCCCCTGTGCAAATCCGCACACAGACATGGAAATATATCAAAAGTATATATTTTTCAAAAGTTTAATACCTGAACATTTTATTTATCTAAAAATCTGTCATCAGTTCCTTATTAAACTCCTTCAGTGGCACAGTAATTAGCCGGAACCTATTTCAGATAGGAACTACAAACGTATGAAACACTTGCTGATTGGCTGATTTAGTTGTGTGAGTCCTTTAACACCTGAGTTAGGTATGTATGTACTGTACCTCAAAATGAATCGGAACACCTCAGGTTTTCTAGATATATTCTTATTAGCATAGCATTTGGAGCACCTCTGTCTCTGTTTATGTATATGTGTATGGTTAGTGTGTATTACAGTGAAGGATCTAGTTCTATGCATAGAAGATCCCACCGTCCCATTCATATCATACCAAACCGACTGTCTGGGGCTCGCTTTTGATAAATTATTATATTGAGTGTAAGTTTTTAAGTAAGATAAATCAATCGTTTGGTGTTGAATCTGCCTGTGAAAGGCCCTTTCTAGATCCTTCGGCCCTCGACAGGTAGTGGTTTCACTGACTGACCCAACACCAACTCGTGATTTGTCGATCACTCATAACGGTAGTTTCTTCAATAAGATTCATCAGTTTGGAAATATGTGATATCAACGTTTTACTTTCTACACAAACAATGTACGTATTAAACGTGTCCCAACGTTTAAGACCGACTCGTCCCTTTGTCAAGCTATGACTGAGTGAGCGATTTGTATTTTTACCTGTACAACGATGTGACGAACTTGTATATTGTTTATGTCACTCGACCCGGGACGTTTCGCCTATCGATAAAGAGCGTATATACACTGCATCATATAGGTTACAGTGTCATTATAATTGAAATTGCCCACCAGTAAACAAATGGCTACTGAATCAGCCTGTTTAAAACTCCCTTACCACGAAGCAGAGCAGACACGGTCGGATACAATAGGCATTTTGAAGAATGCAAAAGCATCAACATCAAATTTGACAAGGGAAGAAAGCAAAGCTCTCAGAAAACGTGGGGAAGGAAATTCAATTGTGACAGCAGACAAGGGCAGGGCTACAGTAGTTTTAGACAAAGATAATTACGAAGGGAACAAAAGGGGAATGCGACGAGAAAGTTAAGGCCTTACTTAGTGACACCAAAAGTTCTCCGGAATGACCCTACCCCATAATGATACAACTTCTGGCTAAAATAAGAGATGATTCATGCATCACAGATCAGCAATACAAGTTCATATACCCGATATCAGAATACATCCCTAAATTGTATTGCACACCCAAAATCCATAAACCGGGTTACCCGTTGTCTTCCTGTAGTGGACTACACTGGGACGATTGGTAACAATCTGTCACGATCCCTAGCAGATATCTTAAAGGTAAGAAGGTTTAGCCAGTCAAAATAATAATTTCCTGATGTCATGTTTCAAATTGGGATTAAGTCATACTTAATATATAAGACAATCATGAACTAATTAACGTCTTTGTTAAATGTATTTAATATACATCCTAGATTTGATATAGAGAAATGATACTGCGCATTATAGAATAATTCTGTCAGCAAATGGATTTCATGTCATCACCTATGTTTAATATGCATTTCAATCCACGCTTAAATTCGACTATTTGTATTTATGCATAATATTATATGAGCAAGTTATAACGACAATTACTTCTTTGCTAATATATCTATTTGAGTAATAGTACGTATCCAATGGACGTTTGTTTGTTCGGATCCAGTACTCATAGTGGAGCATACAGTCGTTATAACTTATAAGACATATATGTATTATAATGTATATATGTCTATAAATTATTGTTATAATTATTATGTTGATATTATTTCCTGACAACATAATATTTGCATATATTTAATTTTAAGATCTTCTTTTTTAATCTACGTGTTATTGGTGTAATTTTGTAGTTGCGATTCTTTTGTTCATTGTTTCACAGCACGTTTACAAGACATCATACGGTAACAACACAACGTGAGTCTATTTTTCTCGGCGCTTAGTACTGCCTAAGGCGACAGTTCACGCATATCAGCAAACTGTGACTGGGTTTTATTCTGCGCTTAGTTAGTTTAGCATATCTTTCATAATGTAATGTTATTTTAAAATTTCAAAATCCAAAGCAAACTATATCCGTCTAATGAATAAAATGATCATCTTCATAAAAAATTTAAAACAATAGGAATAGCGTTTTGAAGAGAATGGCATTTCCGAAATGAATTAAAGCTGATAGTGTCTCAAGGAGATTTTGCTTTGTATTGAATGATCGGTCTACCCTGAGATAGTGCAAACTAGTACATAATGTAACTGTTTGACGAGAGCGAGGCGTATCAGAAAATATGGCGAACGCTCATGTCGAACCAGATCTAGCAGGGTTCACTGGGGAGGAATATGCAGAAATATTTGATATACGGGCAATGCCTAAACCTACAACAGAACGAGAAGTGGGCCAGTTACCAGAGAAGGACATTAGGAAGTTCTTCGAGGAGGTAAAACATTTATTTCATTTCTTATTAAAAAAAGGAAATATTCTAAAGCTTATTATTCTAAATAACTGAACATATACCTATACATATACATATCGTATATTCAACAGCAACGATGTAAGCAAAGCTCGGTATTTAAACTACAGAGCTTATAATGATACGCAAGAGCGGAGTTCATTCAATGTTTATTTACATACTAGTAAGATGTTATTTATGCAACACATATCTAATTTTGACAGGGATATGTAGTTGTAGAGAATGTCTTCCGGAAGGAAACTTTGGAAGCCTGTAAGACGGCCATAGACAAAATGGTTGATGAGCTTGCTCAAAAACTGTATAAAGCAGGAAAGATCACAGGTAGTAATCTCATTTCATTTTTAACTAAATTTATCTCCATTTAACGTTTCTGATTTTGTTTTAGTGGAATAAGTAATCTCAATAAAAGACATTTTTTCGAGTCTTACCTTTGACAGGTTTTTGAGCTATATAGTGAAAAACATATTCCACTATACCCTGGAACATAACCAATTGATCAATTTATCCTATTGTATATATATATATATATATTTAAGCAAAGTCGTCTGTTCAATTTTTCATTAAAAGTTAATTACTGAGAATCTGGTTTTGAAATAAAATTAAGAAATATAATTTGTTTTAAATGTTTTGCAGATCTGTGTGAAAACTTCGGAACCTCTGATAGGTTGATCAGATTGGACAATCAGTTTCAAGGGACAAGTGTTCTCTTTATAAAACATGCCCGATTGATGCAGGTAGGTAAACATTGTTAAAAACACATGGAGATGAATCTTTCCGATTAATGTTTAAATTAACCAAAATTATAGATAATTATATAATGGTATGATGCATGTATTTTATCACTCTACCAGCCGTCTTAAACCATGTTAACGTAGTAAAAATTTCAAAATCAAAACGCCGGGTGACGTCCTGAATCGGAAATAGTACCCACACAAAGGTCTTCGTAATAGGAAAATAGTCCATCGTAAACAAAAGCAGTATAAAATGATGAAAAAAATATTGTGAGGAAAACAACACCATTTAAAGCGTAAATAAGGTATATGGAGAATCCAGTGACGATAATATTGTTTGAACATATTTTCGTAAATAGTTTAAGGTTCATGAAATCTATGAGCTTACATACATCTTTTAAGTAAGTGTAATATTATGTAGCATAATAGTATAATACAGAAAAAAAATAGATACAAACTTATGGATTTCGACTAAAAAAAACAAAAACAAAAAAAACCCAGATATCTTGACTTCATTTATTCTGAAAATTCGCATTTTCTGTATTTGGTATGCTCCAAACGTATTTTACTAGATGAAAATAATCTGCAGATAGATTATTTAATGGCATGTTTTGAAGGAAGCATGAAGTGTTGATAAGTAACATTGTTCCTTTTTTAATTGTTTGACAATTTCTCGTGGGTTTTTTTGTTTTGTTTTTAATAAATTTATATCAATGATAATTCTATACGAAATATCAAGTCAAAATAAACATTGGCAGTAATATATATCTGTAATTTTGTTTGGGTACCACTGTCACCCTATTTAGTGTAATAAAAATAGGTTTAGGTCACCTGTCGGTAGTGATATTGCATAATTTCATCTTTGGGGTATTGTTCATATATACAAATATAATATTTCGCTTTTATGCGATTTATGAATTAGCGAAAACCAGTCTACACGTGAAAATATATACACCGCGATCAGTTTATAGTGTCACAGGCAAGAATTTCAATTTTACAATGCAATAAATTTAACGAAAAAAGAAATAAAGAAATGCTTTGCAGCTATCTAGCGTTTTCATCTCATGATTTACTATGTGATGCTTTAAATATCCCTCATAACAAATGTTATAATCAGGCGTTTAAGGACCTCTGGACAGACGAAGTGTTATTGAACATTGTCGAACAACTTATAGGCCCGGATATAGCTGGTCACCCAGTTTGGAATCTACGGGCAAAGCTACCACAAGATGAAGCAACAACAGTCCCATGGCACCAAGGTATCGTATAAACGTCTGCCCTAGTCACAATCCTCTTGGAATGCTTATTCTTTGTAATCAAGCCATGCATATTCGAGACATTTTTAATGTCATACTGCATCGCGGAAATTCTACATGAGGTAACAACTAGCTTAATGGTCTTGTGGCAAGTTTAACCATAAATTGTATCACACTTTTGACAAATGTCGATAAATAGTCAGGGTTTATCTGCATTTGGCTCCGTTTTCAGACAGTTATTCTGTAGCTGCTAAATCTATTGTTTTATATGATCTCGAGGTAACACTAAAACTGTTTAATTCATTTCCTAAAAAAACATTTCCAAAACGTATGCATATCTTTCGGTTCTTGATGTTCAAAATTCTCACTTTTAAACCTCTTGTCTTCAAAAGATTTAAACACATCGAGTCAGATACACCTGATAACTTATAGTTGACCTGTTTGGGAACATCAAAGTACAATTAGTGCTACTTATCATCAAAATCAAATACATAGAATACGGGGTCGACAGTAACAAGGGAGATATTTATTTATTTATTTATTTCCAATTCAACAGACCCAAGGGTCCACTAACAGAATGGATAACAACATCACAACACAAGTATAAAATATCACAGTCAGTTATGCATGCAACACAGACTAAAAGATACTCATATGTAAAACAAAAGGAATTAGTGATAGCAAATATTCTTTAACCATTCTTTGAACTCGGCGAGAGAGGCACAAAACATATCACAGTCTGGTGCAAAATCAAGATAGTTAAAATTACCTTGAATCCTGTTTAAAATACTATACTTTCTAACGTTTATTCTACTTCTCTGGCAGTAAAACTGGTTAAAACGAGTTGATCGTAGATTACGACCAGGGAATTAAAAAACACATTTGCTTGACTAAATATGGACAATCAAAAGCACTATTAACACATTTGTAAAGAAATACACAGTCTAAAAATGCCCGCCTATGTTCGAGGCTAGGGAGATTAAAATGCCTACAAGTGTCAGCGTGAGACATGGAATTGTAGTCAACGTGTGCCTTAAAACAATAGTTTACGCTGGACAACTTCGACCTGGTGAATTAAAGATGTTTGGTAAGGAGACCAGATCTGACAAAACTTTTACATGTACGTTTTATAAAACCGAGCATTCGCATTGATTTGGAAACAGTACGTCTAATGTGGGTACTTAAACTCATTGAAGAGGTCAGCCAAACACCAAGATCTTTCACACACCATTCATTCTTCAGGTTGTCACCGTTCATAGTGTAATTAAAATTCATACATTTCTTCTTGTTTGTAAAAATGACCTGGCAGCACTTCTTCACATTCACTTTCATTTTCCACACAGTGCACCAATCATACACTCTATCTATATCGCTATATATATCGAGATATGACACGTGGAGTTGGAACAACTTATCGTTAGGAAGATAAATAACCATCAAATCAGTAGTAATATTGACCTTAGATTATGACGGGACAACACATCCTGACCGTTGGTCAATTCCGTATAAGTTACGTAGTCGTATTTTTATCTAATCTGACAATGATACACTTTCGACATCCTTGTACTAGTATAGTATCTCACTTAATGCATGTGATAATAAACTAACCAATATGTTATCTACGACCTATGATATTACGTTATTGTTGAAATTATATGTTATTAGATATGTGTTGCACATTTATTCTTGCATCGTAATTTGTTTGACTTATGAATACAAAAACAGGAGAAAACTGAATTCCAAATAAAACTTAGGCAAAGTATGATCAAATATAAAATCTGGATCGAGGATATCAAAAAGTATGATAGTAAGACCATGTGTTCCTGGAGGTTAAGCTTTAAGGTTTAATGGCTGCATACTAACCTTTCTCAATTCTAATGATGTTATGCTTCATAGTTGGAATTATTTTTATTACATTTTCCGGTTCCGAATATCTTCCTACTCAGGAGTATTCACTGAATGAGTGCTTGTGAACTGCTGTATCATAATTTCATTTGTGAATTTGATTAAATATCAATATACTTATTCTCATCATGAATTGACTTTTTACAGTGAAGTGTAAGGTTTAAAAACAATAAAATCAGATATGAAAACTGAAAGGGGCAACATTGTCCTACACATACAGAACTATGCAATGTTACAACTGATGATAATCCTATCACTTAACATTTAACATTTAATGTGTACTTACAAGAACATTCTTGATGGATTTGGGTTTTACTTGATACAATGTTAGAGGGTTTTGTGCACTTGTCAAGATCATTTAACAATATCACCAAGAAAAATACCCAGTCTCAAGTGAGATTAAAACTCAATATCTCCTTGCGTTCATTTAAGTAATTCGTAAATGATCACGATATTGATGTTATCACGGTTTTATTATATTTCTGTCTTTTTAATATTAAACAAAGAATAAATTCGATGTAATTCGCCACTATGATACATTTTAGCACATGCATACATTTAAGTAGTTGGTGGAAGTTGAAGTAGCCAATGAAATGATTTAGACTGATGTTTATGTGACAAACAATCTTTATATGTAATTTAGATTCTGGTTACCTTGACACGAATAGTTACCGTGTATTACAACCCACCGCCTGGATACCGTTTGTGGACGCTACAGAGACCAACGGCTGCTTGCAGGTAATGTTATATCATATGCAAACTCAATAACATGTTTAAAAAATGTTTATGTCATAGATTTCTATCTTAAATTACATGACTTTTTGTCGAAACTTATTTTTTCAACAAATAAGACATTACAACAAATGCCTCATATACTTGTACATAATATAAGTTGCTTTGCATATTCAATATTGCTTACTATACATGGGCCATATACTGGACCAATTTCTATCCGCCCCGCATGCATCTCCTATTCCACTCAATTCAGAAAACAAAATCATGCTTTAATTACATTTGATTTCAGTTACAGCTGATAATTGTGGCGTTAAATTAGAAAGTTCAAAAAGTTGAATAGGATATGGTAAAAGAAAAGCATAAGGCCGTTTTCATATCCCATGCCTATCAACCCGCGACGATCTCAGCCCTCGGGCGTCCGGGCCCTCTGATAATTATAATTTAGTAGTTTTCAAATACAATGATATCAGTGCTTCAATAGGTTGTGAAATAATTGGGGGTAAATCGAATAAAAAATGAAGCAAAAATTATGATAAACTACACAGAGGAATATACTGGGAAACAGATTGAACTCCCGGTTGTCGTGTCTTAGCTGTGTTCGATAGGACAATATGGCAGTAGACTGTTCGTTTACCAATCGGTACAATGGTGTTTCTCTCTTTGCGATTTTTTTATAACAATCTCTGGAACAGCTTCCCAGCTAAAAAACATTTTGCTAGGACCTTCAATTTCTTTTTCAGATATATCTTTCAGGTTTTTGTTTTATATAACAAAACATATTTAACACGATTGCATCATGCTACCTTCAAGAATTGGAAATTACATCAGCTGCTTAACCCGATCCGCTCTTATATAAATGGATGTCATACTACAAAGCTATATGATAGCCACGTCCCAGTTTCCGCCACTTTCGGTGTTGACAAGTTGATTCGATATTAACGGTTCCTTGCTCCGAATTTTACAATTTTCGTAATGTTCAACACATGGATTCAAAAGATGCAAGTTTGGGAATATTTTTTTAGAGTTATAAAACAACATCGTAAATTAATTTATGATTAACTCAAATGACTCAAAAGTGTCATCCTATTTGACTTTCTATTATAGCAATGGAAAGAAATTGGTAATAGTTTGAATAATTTCATTATATTTTATCCAAGATGATGCATGGTGGCCACAAAACTGGGAAAGTCGCCACTCACCAGTGCTGTCATGGTGGTACCTGGTATGTAATGCTGGAAGAAGACGAAATGGAGAAAACACTTGGTAAACCTTAATCTTAAACATCAATATAAGTCGATACATTTTATCTTTTCCCGTTTTTGTTGGGGGTTTTTTGTGGTAGAAGGACATTATTGTTTAAATTAGTCTTTTTCCTCAAGTTGTATCGGACGCGATATCGCAGGTAAAAACCATGATGGATCTGATTCAGACTGCGACAAAAGGATGCAAATTAAATGTTGGAAATGATATGTGAACTCACTGTTGTAAAGGTAATTGGTTTTCACAGAATGACTATTTTTGAACAGACAAATGATGGTTTCTTGATATTCTGGGAGAGGACCTGCAAAAATGGTTTTCTTTCGTTGAAATTGTTTTGATTGCGTTACCAATGGCCATTAAATACATACATGCTATATGCATGCATGTCCGTCAGATTTTATCTCTGAAACGAACAATTTTGAAGTTTATACGAACCGGTTTTTCCCTTATAACGAACAGGCCCCATGTCAAACATACGAATTGCTATATAATTGTTTTTTCTCATTCAGATATCAATGTGAAGAAGGACATTAGGACCTTCCCTATACCCTATGGAAGTATGATTTTGTTCAATAATTTGATTCCACATAGAAGGTATGTTACTGATTACTCCTCTCAGTTTTTACTATATTGCATTTCCTCTTTCTTCATATTTCCATGTGATGTTAATTAGTAAATAAGTATAATATTTCTCTCCAACATTTAATACAGAAATACAGGTAATAAAATGCTTTTCTTTAATTTTCATGGTTCATTTGGTGTATATCTGCATATTTGTAATCAAAATCTTTATTTATGAATATTGAGCCATTGTCAGCTTCAAATGCCTGCGAGAACAAGCGAGAAGATATTGTTTTTGTCTTAGATTCAAAAATGTTGATTCTTTTCTCACAGTATTTAAGCATTGTACCGTTTTCAGAGAATGCGTGTGGCAAACATTTTTAAACGATGAATGAAGGAAAAATTTGGAAACGCTTTAATGAAAATATTCAAGAAATGAATCATTAGGTGCACGAAAATAAGATCACGGCGCATGTACAGAAATGGCCGAGCGAGGTCCGATTGAGATAGCGAAATAAAATCATTGAGTTACATTTATCTGCCTTACATTATTAAGCCTATTTGATCGAGGTTAAACCTCATCTCAACAGTCAAGTCAACATGTAGACGGCTTCATCAGAACCATCCTTTGTTGAGTTAATCCGTTCAGACAATATGTTATTAATTAATTAATTAATGTATTTATTAGTCAATTAATTATCGTGATTGTTCATACTCTTTGGTGACATTCAATTTAATTAATTGCTTTATATATCTTCTAATCTATTTTTTGGGGGAATTTTATGTCAGTCTAGATTTCTGATTCTGCCATTGTTTGTGAACACATTTGCATTTTTAAGCAATGGTTACCTTTTTCCCCTCATCAAGTTTAAATAACGCGTCAGACCATATCCGTTGGAGTGTAGACCTACGCTGGCAGACTCCACACCTCCCATACGGATATTATGGCCTCAAACAGGGAGTCGTCTTCCGCACGAAGGAGGACCCTCACCCTGTAGTAGATTGGGACAAATTCGAAGGAGTGGATAGGTTCAAGATCACTGCTGATGCTGTTAAAGACACGCCACAGGTAAACCGATCGATTCTGAAATTTTAAGGTTATATTTAGGTAAAGCGAAAGCATTATTAATAAAAATTATTTTAAAGTAAGTATTATAATTACTGGAAATACGAAGGAAGGATGCCCATATTTTAAAATAGTTATTCTACATAGGTAGCTAGACAGACAAAGTATATGTTAACTGTACTATATGAACATTTCGTTCGTCAGTGCTACTATAAGTAAAATAAAAAGAACAAAAATCAAAGTCTAAAGTTTGGGATACAACATGTGTTATTAAACTAGCATTTCTTATATACAAGGTTACGGGACAGATACTTTCATTTCAACATTATTAAATGGTTTTAAAGTTCACACATCACAAAGATAAGATGTGTGATGTTTTATGCTATTACTTTAAACGTTATTTGTCAACTAAGCAGCACTATTTTGCATTTGGAATACCCGTGATATACCTGTAGGTACACAGTGGAGTCTTCAAACAGTGTACCTCCCATGACCGATAAAAAAAATCCTGTTTGTGCATTCAGATTAGCTTAAGTTACAATAGCTTGATATATGTTTAGCTTAAGAAGGGAATTACTTTGTTTAAAATAATGGTAGCAAGACGCCAAACAGTTATTTAGTTATGGGGGTTATGGTGAGCATTCTGCCGTGCTGTTTTTGAAAGTCAATTTAGGGGAGAAGCTTACTATAGAATCTGTAGAACGACATTTTATAACATTTTTGCCGAGTTTAACAAGACGGATGGCCTCCCCCTCCTGCGTAAGGCCGAAAGTTTATGGTCGCTTAAGTATTTTAAACTTGCAAAATGATATCAATTTTTTTAAGAATATGTATTGTGCTTTTGTTTTATACCAACAGGAAACAAAGGAAGCTGATTTTGATACATCCATTCAGGGACCTTGGATGAAGAAATGGGAAATCGTTCACGTCAATCGGCATGTGCAGAAAATGCAGAGCGAGGAGAAGTCCGCTTAAATGGGTTGAATTAAATCTGGTTTTAAACCATAAAGTGACATGTCATTGATCTACAACGCTTAGACAATAACAAAGGTTTCAAGAGGTTCATTTTCAAGACAATTATTAAAGACTTAGGAAACACAAAAGGAGATATGTAGATTAAGCCAAACCTAAAAGTAAGTTACAAGTTACAGTTCAATTTAAATCGATTATCATATCATACATTTAAAACTCCCATTAGGTCTAAGTAAGCTGGGGTGTGGCTGGTACATTTTCGGGCGGATTCATTTAAATGTGGATGCAGAGCAGGGCCTTGGTAAGGGGCACAAAGTTTTTTTTTGTGGATTCAACTTCGTAACTGTGTATTTTACTTCTCGCCAATTCAGGGGGACACAATCCGTGTTTTCTTTACGACTAACGTTTCATGGAATATACAGATATTACTAAGAATGTAACGTCTAACTTAAAGATTTCATGAAAGTTAAAAAGAAATCGTCTTTGGTATCAATTCTGTTATTACACTCTGGCTTGCTGTATATTTGAATGCATTTTAAACAGGCAATAGAGAAAATAATTCGAAATATATATACATTTCAAGGAAACAGTCCTGTAAAGGATTCATTTCAGTTAAGCAAGTTTATGACAAAGGTGTTCTATCTTATATAAATTCTTTCTATGAGAGGCGAGAAAAGTTGATCGCATATTTCCCTAGATAAATCGATTTTAAAGATTTACGTACTATAAAATAGAATAACAAAATTAAAGCAGAGGAGATGCATCCAACTTACAAACAATGGAAATGAAGCCATACAACAATACAAATGCTAGTAACAAATTCTTTACACACATTGTTTTGATCCAGAAGTCGACTAGCATGTATATGCGAAAATCACATTTGCTAATACTGTTTTACGAGTCCCCGTACAGTGCTATCACCCACTTTGGCTAGATTTTAACAAACAGAGTTTTTTATTCATCTACATCAATTCATACAGCTGGATAAATCTGTATCCTATACTGGTTCTAGTCAGTGAAGTGTGTATTTATGTATTCCATCATCATTAATTTCCATTTATTCAATAGTAACACATCAACTTTTACTGCGTATGAAGTATGCATATCACATTTGATTCCTTACTGCAGAACTTGTTATAGATGTCAGGTTTGTTTTGGATAGATGTATCGTGGAAAAAACAAGGAACATGAAAGTATTTAATTTCTTTTTATTTATTAAATTGTTTCTGAATCTTTTTAAAATAACACAATGTAAAATAAAATTCATGTGTTATATTTAACCAACAATTTGATACGTGACATATTATTATATATTCTTTCTCTGTCATACACTGTTTGTGAATTCCTCTTACATAATATTGTCAATATATTTACATACAATCTCAGATATTTCCTGTACAATGAGATAAGATAGACTGTAACATTACAGCTAACGCACCGGTTAACAATGAGCAGCATATCTCTCTTATAAATATGTTAATGTATAAACCTCAGATTTTGATATTGTTGTTTGGTAAATGCGATAAGATTACATGCTGCCGTGATTATTACACATGTGATTAAGATTTTCTATCATTGAATAGTCAGGATTATCTGACTGCATGAACAAATTTGTAAATGATTTGTACCTTTTCTTTACGTCATCAATTAACAAATGACGTCAAAATTACATTCATAAGCGATCTTTTGTTTCTAAATCGGACAGTCGATGAGAAAGAAGAAATATTTCGTAGAAAAATAGTTTCATATATACCCTTAAGAAAATTGCAAAAAGATAGATATCACCTTTTAAGTTTGTCTCAAAAAGGTAGCATAAACCCTTAAGCATGTCACAGAAAGGTGGCATGCACTCTTTAGTGTAACAGAAAGGAAACATAAACCCTTAAGTATGTCAAAAAAGGTAGCATGTTGCCTTAACTGAACGCGGTGGCTTGTATTGTAAAGTGACAAATTAAAAATACATTTGTTGCTTTAAAAGGAAACATGATAAAAACAACGCAAATGCTTAAAAATGTTTATGTAAGTAATGACATGTGTATTATCCTGTAATGTCTTCAGTGTTAAATACACTTCAAAAATAATGGCAAGATAAAATTACAAATTAAGTATTTACAATTATAATATTCGTATAAAATTTAAAGACGATAAATATCAATACTGAAGTTTTCACACATTAAAAATTTAAGAATAGAAACAACGGGATAAATTCTTCCTTATATTTTCCTACAGATATTCCTATTATGAGATATTGTCTAAAAAAAAATAACAATAAGCGCAATAAACACAGGTTAAAAGCACTAAACTTACCCTGATATATGTTCTCCGCAAAAAATTACCATGATTCACAAGAACACAAAAGACACAAAAAATAAGGTTAGTAAAAACAAAAAATCTCATTTGTCTTTTAGTACAGTTGTGTCACATTCCGATTTAAGATATTCTTAAAGATTTGCAAAATCAAAATGATACTTGGCTGAATGCATAATTTTTCACTTCGTCATGATGACGATTTATATCAAATATGTCAAATATATTCACGGATGTGTGCTTACTGAGATACTTGTTACTCATCAAGGATGATACCAATATTTACAAAGATACTGACTCATTCTAAGTATAGACTGGCTTGATATTTATATATAAAGATATCTCTACATTGCCCTCGGTTCTTGAGTCATTCCAGTGAGGTTTTGCAACACTCATCAATTAATAATAATAAAAAAATACGCCCAGGTTAGCTACTTGATGTTACATAGCATTTGATGAAGTAACATTAGGCTAGCTATATATAACCACGAAAATCAACGTTTTTGCTAATGTCTTGTGCAATCACTGTGGAGTACATTTTGACGAAGTTCCTATTTAATGAACAAATTAAAAATGATCTTGCCCTGTACATTTCTTAGTGAAAAAATTCAATTGAACATTTTATCGTCATTTTTCCAGACCGGATTTATGTCATTCACTTATAATTTGGAAAAGAATATATTTATTAAGATATCCTACATCTGCACTTAAGTAAACAAATGGTACGTGTGTTTATATGTAAATCCATCCACGTTTATGCATTCTCTTCCACACAAATAAATAGCACCATAAGCTTTATAAACAATATCCGAATATTCATTTTCTCATATAATTGTTTTAGAGTACGTACTGCATGTCCGATTACTGGAAGTAGTGATGCACCATTATCATGACAGTCCGGGCAAAATATACAAGGAAATGGGACAAAGGGATAGTCCCGACCAGCTAACGCCGTCATACACATTATACAAGTGTCTATCTTATTACGTACAAATATATTTGTTTCCTCTTTCAAGGATTTGAAAGATAAAAGATTTAACTAATATATCTTATACATATTAGAGTCTTTAAACGCTGATATGTATATATCGTTAGATTACCAGTTATTGTTTATATATTTTCGATATACAGTAAAACCTCGATAGAAGGCCCTTTGTTTCATTTGCCACCTCGTTTAACGCCTATTTATTGCAATGTCTTTTTTTCACCTTTTCTAAAGAATTTCTATATACCTTTCCATCAATTTATCGTCCACTCCCTTTATAATGTAAAAATAGCTCTTGATAAGTGCTAGCGTATAATGAGGTTTTACTGTATATCACATGTTACTGTTGCTAAATTGATGTTTTGATAGGCATAACAACATTGACTTTGTGACTTGTATGTCAAAATTTGACGTCATAATGCATATAGAAATGGACTCTGAACGTTGAACTTAGATTTTCTCGACATTGTTGTCTTAATGTTGGTGTTAATTTTATAAAAATATCAAAAATTCAATGTTTTGTAAAAATGGATAAAATGCCAGTGTTATGTTGCATTTAATATCTGTTTTGTACATTCCATGAGATGAACAGTTAAGAAAAAAATATCTATATATTTTGATAAAACAATTTCATATTACATCGGAAAATTATTCAAATTTATGATTCAAATTGAATGCTTTTGTGTTTTAGCCTCAATAACACATACAGAAGAAATAAACTAAAATGAAATTGATTAGAAAGCGCTTGTTATTAATGAAATCAATAAAAACAAATGATGAAATTAAAAAAAAAACATAAATATGTATCTATACTGAAAAATCGTCATTACTTCATGTCATGTCACTAAAACAGTGTGCAAACAACGACAGAGTGGTATTAATCGTTTATATAAATTCAAAACAGACAGGTTTGCATAGAAACCAAGAATAGCTTATGAAACCGAGAGAACTTTCGCTCAGCTGCACTTTCGGCCTTCAATGATAAAATCTGAATCCGTCCCATGTTAATTGCGCCCTTCACATTTAATTATTATGTACTAATATGTTGTTTATCAATATTTGCTCTTGTGATAAAAATAAAGGGCATTAAACGTTTATTTACAAACATTAAGCACGATGATTTTATTCAGAATTTCAATATAAATATCATAATAATAGAGAGAATGAAAAAAAAGACCATCCGTGTAAAAAATCTGGAGACATTCGTCTTCACTGACTAGCGTATGATATATTTTCTGCAGAAGACTTTCATTTTCCAAATACACTTGTAATTACATATAAATACTAGTAAGACATGCCGACATAAATTTTACAACAAAGTCATGTGGGTTTAGGTAGGATTCTGTTATTCTGACTAACATATAAACACCAAAATCAAAGTGGTTTCCTAGTAATTAAAGACAACTAAATCATACCGACGTAAATTCTCCGTACTACAACGTAATATTGTTTTAGATACATTACACTGACTCTTATATAAAGGGTCATATATGGACATGTTGGCCGGTTTGGACGTTATATTGCGAAGATGGGAAAATGCAACAAACAAATAGAGGTTCGTTAATCAAGCCACCAACCACTACCACTAACTTGTTGTCCCGCCATTCAGCCGGTGTTAATTAGTACATAATGACAGTTTGTAACGGCATTGACCCAGTAATCAAGCCATTATACAATTACCCTACTTTAGCTGAGAACAAATGTGAGAGGATTGTCAAAAAAAATATATCAGCACTTGTGTTTTCTACGCATACTTTCTGTTTAGTTTTCAACCTCATTGCGTGTTTACATATTTTTACAAACAAAATGAATTTCATCATCAGATGAATTTGCAATTTCGTGAGTTTACGGTAGTTGAGAAGAATTTATATAAGCCCCAAGCTTGTTTTCGAATCCCTCTGAAATTACATGTATATAATAACATTGCATGATTATGAATACAATTCTGTTTGAACTAAGAGTTATTATTTGAAGACAGATCTTTCTCTGAACACAAGGTAAATATCACTGTAAAAAATATCCAAACATATAGCACCTTCGATTAAGACTGATGAGGAAACAACCCTAAATGAAATTTATACAAAATAAAAATGGTAAAGAATTACACACTATTTCAGGGTTCGTGTTGTAATACAGAAACACAATTGATCTCTTTCTACAGAATGATATTTCCGAATTGTCCTTTTAGGTTTGATAAAAGAAGTTTTAGTGCATAGTGCTTAAATTTCGGTCGTATTTTATCGCTATTCGCGGCCTGAAATAGTATAGCATTGTTGTAGGAAGAATTCTACTTTCGAGGAATAAAAATCGGGAAAGGTTGACTTGGCAACGTTAATCAGTGTACAGTATATACCATATTTGCTGAGTAACCGCGTTTACTAATATACGACAACTGTCCCATGTGACATGCTCTGTTATCAGTCACTGTGGTCACCTCATAAATGAGCTGACATCACAATCGGTAAGACAAAAATCCAACTCGTTTTCCCCCATTTTGTTCCCACCAATCTCACTGTTGTTCCACAGAATACAGTTGTTCTGCCGTTCGCTATACAATTTTAATGCAATCTTCTGTGCAGACATAATCTTGTGTCGGAGACAAGTTTCTTGTTTCAACGTCGAGAAGGTTGACCAGTGATATTGCCACTGATTGTAAGAATAGAAAACGAATTGGGTTTGGTTTAGCACCAGAGTAAGATGGACTCTTGAAATCAATACACACATATCGGCATCACCTTAGCACCAAGGCGACCAGGACTGTTCACGAATAAAATGCAGGAATGATTTATATTAAAAGATGAAAGTACATATCGGCTTCAACACTCAATGCGAGATAAGAGCTAATAATTTGTGGATCGAAAATCACCCATATTATTAACGGCATTTGGATGTGTTACCAGATCAAACGCGAGATAAGCGTGGGCGGTTATTACAACAATGCTGGATTATTTTCGAGTCACCATTCAGGTACTCAAGAAGTACATTACTTGAACAGAGTACAATCTGAAGTTTAATACTTTACAATTTGAAACGAAATAAACATAAATCTATATAACTATGTATTATGCTTGCACCACATGTTCTTCGTGTTGGACAGTTAAACATCCTCTCTCTGCCGACGACAACACAATGTGCTTTACCCAGACATCTCTAACGGTCATCCTTCAGCCACCAGAATTTAACATTTTAAACGGTCAACGTCCGGCCACTAGAATTACTCACACGCTTAGCCCGTCGTGACCTCAAAGGGTTAGATAAATGTATATCCGGCTAACACTAATCAAGCGATCGACGGGTCAGACCATTATATTGTAACGACATAAGGCGCACGTGCAGTTCACAATATAACACATTGGAGACGCCGTTTCTTTGGCGGCCGTCTTCGTTTTTTCGGATCCAGCACAGCTATCATAGCCTCATCGAACACGTCCTTTAAGCCTTGTCTTGTTAAAGCAGAACACTCTACATAACAGTCTGCGTCCAGTCGCTTGGCAAATCGTTGTCCTTCCTCTATTGTTATCGGCTTTTGTCTCCGTTTTTGGAGTTTTTGTTTGATGTCTTCATCCTCTCTTAAATCTGCCTGCGTACCCACTATAAGGTACGCAGGCGGGGGTAGTGTTTGTAGTATTTCAGGAAGCCACTTAAGTTCTAGATTCCTTTGCGACTCCGGCATGACCACAGAAAATGCCAAAAGGAACACATGTGTCCCCGGGTATGCCAGCCGACGGAGACCTTCATATTCCTCCTGTAAATGACCAAAACATTCAGAGTAAGCCTAATACGACACACTATGGTTATAAATTCGTTATCATTTCATCAGTTGTGGATCCCTGGCCCACTGCACTGTAGTATTTCCTGCAGTTACCTCCCCTGAACTTCTGTTTAGATACGGGTCTAGCCCAGCTTTTTTTACACTCATAACACTGTTGTTGATCACATTTTGTTTATTTCATCTAGATCTTTATCATTTCTTATAAAAGTCCTGCAAACTAAGTTATAGTCATGCCGGGGTAAAACAGTCTCCAATACTTAACTTCAGTTTTGACAGAGGTACGAGCCTACGGGGATCCTCAAATGACACTTTGAAAGTTTGTGTAGTATGCATGGCTACTCATATATCACAGAGTTGTCTGTTGAATATATTCATAATCGATACCTAAAACTGTCGGAGAACATGTAGGATTGTTAGTCATATCCAAGGACAAACGGCCCTGCGATTGGGATGACAGATAGTTCAATAAACTTTATTCTTTATTCATTATACTTTATTCAAATGTAATCATCGACCTTAATATTCACAAGAATCACACATACTAATGCACACAAATTAAGTTTGGAAGGAAACACGCAAGATTTGGTAATATCACGCAGATATGATTTTAATATGAAAAGTTTTGAATATTTTAAGGCGTTATCTTAATATTTTTTTAAAGTTCTAGCTCATCAATACTGTTTGATAATGACGAAGCAGTTGGAGGTATACTGACCTGTCCTGCCGTGTCGAAAAGGCCCAGCTGGAACTGCTGGTCTTTGATGGCCACCGTTACTGAAACAATAGATTTAGATATATAATGCGCGTGTTTATTGAGCTTATCTCATGAACAAGAGCTCTGCCGTCAATTTCTTTTCCAAAACCTCGAGTTGAAAGTCATAATTCATTAACAAGATAGGATAAAATTTGCCGGATACACTCTATCAGGAAAGGGATAACCTGCTTTAACATAACAACAATAACATATCACTTTTCCCATGGTCCTGACATCCATGTGCTCCAGGATGTTGTTGGTTCTTTTGGCGCTAAACACTGTGCTTAACCCCCAGTGTGGCCTTTTGGGAATACTATGTTAAAGATAACGACGTTTTAACTTCGACGATCTTCCTGACTTGGAAATAAGACTGATTTTCTCCTATTTAAAACAAGATACACAATGAGACAATTATGTTATATTCCTGATTCTGTAAGACTTCATGCTGGACGAGTTCGTAAATACTGAATACATAATAATTTTGAAGTGTTGTTTTATCAGATTCTCATTACGGCAGAATCAATGCGGTCGTTTCCGTTTGTCATTTCTTCGTTGAAGAATGTTTAGGCTTTCCAAAGAAAAGCTGGAAAAGTGATAAACAACAGCTGGGAATCGCTTTTTAGCTTTCTATTTGGTGGAACTAATGGATGCAGTGCGGTTTAATTATTATCAAACTGAAAGGTGGTTGACATGAGAAATACTGTTCAAAATCTACCTCACACATTAATGGTACACGCAAAGTATGTAAAAGGTCGCCTAACTTCACGGTGCCACGTCATTTGTGTAAAAAGTTTTGAAATTAACATAATTTTATAATTACTTGTGCGTTATCAATTCATGGCAGTTGATGAACACAGTCAGACAACATAAACGACAACAATAGATGAACGCGAACATTAAAAACATTTAGAGCACTTCAGGAAGTATTTTCCTTTAAATAAAGCTCGGCATGTTTGTTTTCTGGGCTACCGTAGTCTGGGTTATGAAACTATGCTGCAATCAAGTGTCCCATTGTTCTCGAGAAAAGAAACTTTCAAAAAAAAAATAACGCACGTAAAATAACTTTTACTTCACACACATACGACGTTTGTGATATGTAAATTTAGAAGTCGATAAAATCCGGGACGTTTAATAGTTGGTGACTATACACAGCGTTCCGGATTTCCTTGTGTATTGACGAATAATTGGAAACGACTTTCAGAGCTACAAATTTCCTGTTAAAACTATAATCTAGTAAAGTATGATACCAGATTTTAAAGCAATATTTGGATTAAGCCCTAGGCCACAAAACCGTTCTTATAGAGCACTTTCCTTTCCACAGCATTCCTATGCTTGTCGAGTAGCTGAGATCCAGACTGTCTTACAGCAAGACCTGTTATCAGTGTAAAGAACGTTACTCTTTTTATCAGTCGACCTTACGGATGCTTGAGATATATGATGTAAAATATCGATATGAAATTCTCTAATGACGTACGTAACAAGTCTCAAAAAAAATATCACCGCTAGCTGCTTTAAATACAATATAAAAATATGTGATAGAATTCAGCTTCTCTGGTAAGCTACATGTTTCCAGCGGCAACATCAACTCACCTAACCAAAATACAATTATTCATTTAAGAAGCTTATTCTAACCTACCCACCAGCTGTTGGCACGCGCCCTCCTTAATGGGGGAAAGGAAGGTGCTTCAGGTGGGCGTGTGTGTGGCACGTGTAAGCGATGCGAAACACGTGACTACAATGTTGATGGAAAACCAAGCCCTGTAGGCAACAGTTGGTTTATGAGAGGATCTGTCTTGTCTAATACTCTATCATTGTGTCAAACACAAAAACATACTATAAACGCTTTTGATAGCGGTGTTTGCTTTTGTATTTATTAACGGATCGATTGGCCTTCCACGTAGAGGGCCGAGGTTCGATTCACCAGTATAAGACTGATTTTTAGATCCTTTGTCACAGCTGCTTCAATCGATTTGCAGTTCTCTTCCCCAACATATGTAAATAAAAAACGAAGCAAGGCTGGTACTGCTAGTAGCCTTGCTCAGGCCCGACATTTGTTTCCCGTTCATTTGTTTTTGGCCGTTCATTTGTTTTTGGCATTGTTTTATTTTGTTCTTGTGTTTTAAGGAGGTGGAATTGTCAACTATTTGAAACACATAAAACCCGTCTGGCCTCGTCACTAAGGATATATAATGTGTAGGGTGTAAAGGATTTGTCTCACAATGCAGGTAAACAAGGGTAATTATGTATGCATCGATCAAGCATGACACCTAAAACAATGATAACTGCTGTTGTTGCCTGCCTTACATTATATCAAATTGCATCTTTTATGGAGCTACAAAGCGCAGTTGGTGGTGAGCCGGCCTATTGACTGTAATTTAAGGTCGTAGGTTCGGACCACGCAGATGTCAGAAAGTTGTGAGAACGTTGAGCATGACAATAAACCTTATTGCTCAACTTTACTTGCCTATAGCGTGAAATATCATATGGTGTGGGTGGTAGGTTGGGTATTACGGCTTTTATGCTTAATTTTCAAGTGTTATAGTAACGAGCCGTTGTAAAAACGGTTCCATAACAAGTAGAACACGTATACATCCTCAAGCACCTTCATACATATAGTGGTACAAAAAAAGAAACCACGTACGTCTTGAGATTAGATAAGGTGCTATAAAATAGTGTATCCTAATATGAATATTGTTGGGAGGATCTCACATCTGATTATGATTGTACAGCTAAAAGCCGACTGCTTCAGAGCATTGGAGCCGCACTTCGTAAAAAAGTCATCCTCAAAAATTTTACCTAGTGTTGATCTAAACCCGTAACGTTTTTAATAAAACTCCCTACACACCAAGAGAGGACAAAATATACATTTTGTGAATAACTCCCAGACCCTTGTGCTCTTAACATCCTTAACGTTTCATAAATACACCAAGAGAGGCCAAAATATACATTTTGTGAATAACTCACAGACCCCTGTGTTCTTAACACCTTAAACGTTTCATAAACCTCAGTACTTACACACCATGAGAAGTAAAAATATGCGTTTTGTAATTAACTCTCATGGCCCTGTGCTATAAACCACCAAACTAATGCTATCAGTAACACCTGGGTAATTTACAAATTACATGTAATTACATGCAGGGACACTGTTCAAAATCGATTTCAATTGTAGATATGTGCAGCCACAGACCACTATGTTACACTACACCGCGTCCATGGCAACCTGATAATCGGCCATTGTTTTCCTTAATTATATCACTTCGCTCCATGGCCCCGTGAACAGACCGACTGGCTAACGAGATAACTTCTAAGGAAATATCACCACAACCTGAAAGCCGGTATCCTCCACATCAGTTACCAATTTGGCTGCAACAGTAAACAGATGCAAGCGCGTGTGTGATGTTGGGTTACTGCAGAGCGGCGAGGGGGAGGAAGCACAGTGCACAGGGGCGTATAGAACTCGTAAAAAAGTTTATATATAATTATAACAAGTTTTGCTGACAATTTATCAAATACAAGTGGTTGCGTTCTACATGCTCCTGTGTATAGTCAACTGCAGTGTATTACGTCATCAGGATATTTTGTAATACCTAACGATATTTCAAGACCCTGTATTACACAAAGCAGATATGACGGTATATAGGTGTGTATTGTTCACGGTTTTATACCAATAAACATCCGTAATTCCCCGTATCGGAGTTACACATGTAATACACGCCCAATACAGTGTATTTACTCATTTGTTAGCTATGCACAGCTTGACCTTTGACCTGTAACATCATGGGAATATATAAACCACATTTATATATTAAAAGGAATATAACAACAACATATCTTCAATAACCATTGACAAAAAAAAAAACTTCGCATTATTTTTTACATATCTGACCCATCCTTTTTTCAGATTTTCTTTGAAAACTTTGAGCAATGCATCTTGTTATCCAAAACATCGGAATGCATGCACACTTTTTAATGCCTTTCGCTATCAAACAGAAGCTTGATGGATTTGTCTTATACACTTAAAAGATTCCTGGGGTTTGTTCGTTCCAAGTTTTCTACCAAATCATCAGATTATTCTACAAAGGGTTCACGACATTTGCCTTGTGAAAACGATAACATTTGAGCCAACTTGTACACTATACAGACAGTAGCTATCAGCAATTTTCCTCTGTATCTCTAACTTTCATCTGACAGAAACAGCCATTGTCTGGCGGGAGGTGGTGGGGAGGGGTGGCACTGCTTGAAACTTCGGTGTATAAGTATATCCTCTAGACTTCACGAGGCCTTTAATGAGGCTATAAGTCTACTAGACAGATAATATCCCATTTGTAAGTACGAAAACGTCTCAGACTAACAGGAAATAACAAATTTTGCAATAGACTCAAAACCTGATAATCGCAAATCAATAACGTGTCAATTTCACTCTTAATTCCAGTTGGTATAACTGTCCCTGAACTGTTTATCATTCATCTTGACTTCAATAATGCTGTACAATTTCTGGCCAACCCTTTTTAATTATATGACAAAAAAAAAAATGTTTTACCTCAAATTGAACTTGTGTGACAGCGTGTTTTGGGAAATATGCAGTCGTTGTTAATCTCCTATGAACTGAAATTGATTTGACAGGTTAACTACACTTAACGTCTCTATCAGGTCAGTATTGTCTTAATAGCCTTGAGCACAGGCACAGGGACATCATAATCAATAACGGTATACATGTTTGAACATCTAATGTGAAACACCAATATCATTCCAGGTACATCGGAAGAGAGTCTATACATACATTTTGTAATTGATCCGCATGTCCCTGTGGGCACAGGGACACCACACAATGTATAGCAGGTTTGATGACAAAGAAATAGTAATTATAAAACCAACAACCATGAAATGCGCCTTGTCCCTGTGGCTTCAAGGCCAATTTTCTGTTGTAGGAATACCTAAATATATTCAAACGACTTAACCAATCATACACTGTGTTTCGTCCGATAAGGTCATAAATAGGCATTTCAGCCTTAGGTATTCAAAACTGTTTTTAATTCGCCAGACAAATACGCGGATCTTGAACAAGGACTAGAGCATTTAAACTTTTCAACTATCACAGCGAGTTGAAGAAAGGGGAAAAGGCACAGCAGCGATATTTACCTGTACATTCATACATGTAAATATTTTATTTATGTGAATCACGGGTCATTGACGTTTACGTAAACAATATCGATGACGGTTTAAGGTCAATTGTCAAAAACACATATATTTGTTCTGAGTTTTACCCAAACATTGTGTATGCATTTAAACATTTTTTTTCTATTTCCTACTGGACACAGTTTTTTTATGTGACACTGGGTGACAAATATGGTGAATAATTGACTTATTTTAATACAATTGGACGATCATTGAAAATATATGTCATGTCGTATAAAAAATAGTTAACTTAGATACACTTATCATGCGTAAATATTTCCTATCAAATGGCCATATTTTAGTGTGAAATATTCTGCTTAATTGGACAAGCACGTGCAATTGCTCGTCACTCTTGACCTCAATTGACCCTAAAATTCTCTGTCGTTCTTAAACAATTTAGTTGTCTAATATGCTCTGTCGACCTAAGGGCTATGCTATATATATAAACATATAAACTTGATTGTTGCTTGTAATGGTCGTGTCACATTATAACCGAAGTGGCGACAGAACACGAGTTGAGGACAGCGCGAGGCCATTCACATGTCTCTATATATTCCCACGTTATATGTCACTGTCCTCTACTTCCGGTCTGACTCAGGCCCATCCACTCCTGTCAAAAGTTAAGTAGTGACAGCTAACTATTAGCTAGCAGTGCACGAGAACAAGACAGTAATATTACAATACCAAAAAAAACATGTCAAACAACAACAAAAAGAAGCTCAAAAATCCTAAACGTAATCCGACACCGGTAAAGTAGACCCGGATCTACCAAGGCCAAAGTAAATATATATTTGTTATCAATTAATAAGGATAGTATAATTTCATACATAAATAATCACACTGACTGTAGCTTTTACTTATATTTTGGCATGTATTAATATAATGATGATTTTGGTAATATTTGTTTACTTATTTTCAAAGTAAAACATTTCTATTACAGGAAGTCATACATTTTTTTCGTTGTTATACGAAGCAGTAGTTTTACTTGGTCATGGCCTAATTCAATATAATAGTCCTGATATCTGGTGAAAATATGCATTGATTCATAACACGGCCAGCACGCAATGAGAATTAAACCCTTTGTGTCAACGGACAGAAAACCTAATTATAATCCTTTACTTGAAAGTAATAACGCATTCCTTTAGGTTACGTCAGTTCAGCTATGATAATATCTTTCAAAAATGTCAATTCATTTTACCTGTAATTGACTGTGTGTGTGACTGAATAAGAATATAATTTAAAACGGAATAAAGGTGGCTTTGTTCAGCTTTATTGTTTCCTTCATTGTGCTATTACAGCGAACCCATTATAGCATCAGTGTGAAGAACTGTATTGAAGGTTGAAAGTATAGTGACCCCGGGTTTGACGGTGTCCCTTACCATCAATCAATACCACTGTGTATTTCATCAAACTGTCTGTCAGTTCACAGCCATGCTAGTTTTACTTCTGCACTTTCTACACATTGATAAACACTGAATCACATTTCAAATTCCATTTCAAGAAATATCCAGATATCAATATACTTTATAGAGACCTCAAGTTTAAATGGCCGTTTATCCTTCAGGCGATTTCAGTCGCCGTACAGGTGTGTGTAGATGGTCATATTAAGTTCATCGGACATCTCTGACCAGTCCAATGTAACTTATGACCACTACAAACTCCCCTCTAGCCAAACTGTCTGTATATATACAATCAATCAAGTGTTCATTTCATCCGTTAAATTTGGATGTGAAATGTATACAGCACTTCCGGGTAAGTCGAGACATACACACCTGTCAATCATAAATTCTAATTAACCCATCATCAAAAAGTAGTTTAATCGTGACATCAGACACTTTACAGGTGAGAAACATTCACGTGTATTACACACGCTGAAACTTCCCCGTCGTGTACCTCAATATCACACCTGAGCATCTTCACCACACACCTGTTTGTGCCTCAGTTTGTCCACGGGACGGGTATATGTCTTACCTGCGTAATTGTCAAATACAGTCGGCACGTATTCCGTAGGGAACCTGTTTGTGGCGTAGCTCATCAGCATACAGGTCTTTCCTATGGCGCCATCACCACATACAACACATTTGATGAATTTCGGTCCGTCATCCGACATGGTGTTTAGCACACAATATCGTTCATGTATACATATACGTATAATACATATGTGTACCACTCTCACTCCACAGCTTGTAAGTATGACATCATTTATCGCCTCCTTTATCGGACCAATCAAACGACTTCTATTTATAGCTGAGTATTAACCTTTTTGTCGATGGAGAGGATCCCGGGTTGTTTGGTGTGTTACCGGAAAACACCACTTACATGGGAGTTTCCACGAAAGAATGTGGGGTATACACATATACACTCTACATTATATACTATAATGATGTAGTTATGTAAAGTATATATATAGCATACGTCCATCGTAGTTAATTAAAATAACCACGGAATTAGATTATCTAAGTCCGTGAAATAACTAAGTAATTTTATCCTTTGCCTGAATGTATTTATAGATATGACTCGAGTGCAATTTAAATGTTTTTAAATTCCTATAATATGAGAAATATTGGATTCCGAATCTAAAGCTTAAATACGATATTTTTTGTTCGTTATTTCTTTTTATGCGTTCTACGATAAACCGGAAAATAGTATATACAAGGTACATGTATATGCATACTGTATTTATATTACAGGTACATCAACTGTCTGCAAGATGCCCAGCTGGCCTGTATCGCTCCCCTGGACATTTAATCATTACAAACCATGCTCATTAAAAGCAATGTTGCAAACGTGTTGTGTGAGTTTTTTTTCAGTTTCGGTTCCATCTCTCAGAACCAAAAGAGGCATACTTCCTTTGCATAACAGAGTCTCCTAAAATATTCTAACAGTTTTTTTAAGACACGTCACACTCTTTACAACGATTCATCCCACCTTGGTTGAGAGCCGTGCATATGTGTGATGACAATCACAAAGTTCTATGGCCGTGCGAGCGTGATAGTAGTGGGTCGGGCCCGAACCCTAGAGACTACGTCTGGTAGCATGAATGTATTCTTCTCTTCATGCACAGCAACTGCATAAATGGTTGATTGCTAACTATGGCACATAAACACTCTGAGAGTGATTTCTTTCATAACACGATACACAACTCTCTTCCAGTAATGAACAAACTATTCTGAGATATTTGTTATCACTGAGTATTAAATAAAACCTCTGCAGTGTAATTTGTAAAACAAATTTGTTAAAAGAATCGATATTGTTTTCTTTTAATCATTATTAAAATGAAACACACAAAAACAGAACAAATCAAATTGAATGAACGTGATACCTCTGCTAATGTTATACATGTAGCGACGTTTTCGACAATTATTTTTCATTTTGATTTTCCATACTACATGTCTTTTATAACATCTGTTATGTTGTTGAAAATTGAAATGCAGTATATAACACATGCATATGATTGCATTTCCAACATTGGTAATAGATACAGTATGGTAATAGATACAGTATGGTAATAGATACAGTATGTTAATAGATACAGTATGGTAATAAATACAGTATGTTACTAGATACAGTATGGTATAGATACAGTATGGTAATAGATACGGTATGGTAATAGATACAGTATGGTAATATATACAGTATGGTAATAGATACAGTATGTTAATAGATACAGTATGGTAATAGATACAGTAAGGTAATAGATACGGTTTGGTAATTGATACAGTATGGTAATAGATACAGTATGGTAATAGATATAGTATGTTATTAGATACAGTATGGTAATAGATACAGTATGGTAATAGATATAATATGTTAATAGATACAGTATGGTAATAGATACAGTATGGTAATAGAAACAGTATGGTAATAGAAACAGTATGGTAATAGGTATAATATGTTAATAGGTACAGTATGGTAATAAATACGGTTTGGTAATTGATACAGTATGGTAACAGATACAGTATGGTACTAGATACAGTATGGTCAAAGATACAGTATGGTACTAGATACAGTATGGTCATATATACAGTATGGTCATATATACAGAATGGTCATAGATACAGTATGATAATAGATACAGTATTGTAATAGTTACAGTATGGTAATAAATACGGTTTGGTAATTGATACAGTATGGTAATAGAAACAGTATGGTATAGATGGAGTATGTTAATAGATACGGTATGGTAATAGATACAGTATGTTAATAGATACAGTATGGTAATAGATATAGTATGTTAATAGATACAGTATGGTACTAGATACAGTATGGTAATAGATACAGTATGGTAATGGATACAGTATGGTAATAGATACAGTATGGTAATAGATACAGTATGGTATTAGATACAGTATGGTGATAGATAGAGTATAGTAATAGATACAGTATGGTAATAGATACAGTATGGTAATGGATACAGTATGGTAATAGATACAGTATGGTAATAGATATAGTATGGTAATAGATACAGTATGGTAATAGATATAGTATGTTAATAGATACAGTATGGTACTAGATACAGTATGGTTATAGATACAGTATGGTAATAGATACAGTATGGTCATAGATACAGTATGGTAATAGATACAGTATGTTAATAGATACAGTATGGTAATATATACAGTATGGTAATAGATACAGTATGGTAATAGATACGGTATGTTAATAGATACAGTATGGTAATAAATACCGTATGATAATAGATACGGTATGGTAATAGATACAGTATGGTAATAGATACAGTATGTTATTAGATACAGTATGGTAATAGATATAGTATGTTAAAAGATACAGTATGGTACTAGATACAGTATGGTAATAGATACAGTATGGTAATAGATACAGTATGTTAATATATACAGTATGGTAATAGATACGGTATGGTAATAAATACAGTATGGTACAGTATGGTAATAGATACAGTATGTTAATAGATACAGTATGGTATAGATACAGTATGGTATAGATACAGTATGGTAATAGATACGGTATGGTAATAGATACGGTTTGGTAATATATACAGTATGGTAATAGATACAGTATGATAATAGATACGGTATGGT